GAGGCCGGCGCTTCCGGTGGCGTGGCTTGCATCTTCGCCTAGGTCTCTGGCGGCTTCTGCTTCCGTCGTAGACTTTATCAGGTTTCGGGTTCCTCCAGATTGGGGTTTATTTGCAACCCCTGCACGGGCTTGACCGCTCTGGTTTCCCTTGATGTCCTTAATTCCTCGCAGGCCAGCTCCACGTAGCCCCATGATTGCCCAAGGATACCGCCTGCGCACCTGGCGCTCGGTGCTCGGGTTTTAGCTCAAGGCGAGGTCTGCGCTGGCCCAGAGTGCGGGGCGTGGCACCCTCGGTGTGCGCACCAGGAAACCTGGGAACTGGCTGGCAGGCTGCCTTGGGGCCGTGCATATTTCCATATTTCGTTAGATTGGGAAGGTGGGTGGTATCGCTCTAACCGAGAGCACAGATTCAGAATCAGTGGTGGAGTTGAGATTTCTTAACTGAATACTCGGAGGTCTACAGCGGAGCACGGTGCCGAACAGAAGGCACGAAGACCCGGACACCCTGGGGCTCCAGCTTTCCGGGTGTGCGCAGTACAGGTGGATTAGTTTCCTCGCCTGCGGGATGGGGCTGTGGTACACCTGACACAGGCATCCCGCGCGTCGATGAAGCGTGCGAGGGCACAGGGCCGACACACAGAACACACCCAGGAAATGGTCGGTGCCGCTGGACCCAGGCTTTCTGAGCCATTCCCCGCTGCAGCAACAATGTACCCGGAATTCCATAGAGCCTCGGTACTACGTTGTACAGAGAGTACAAACCAACCAAGCTACCCATTTGGGATAAATTCCAGATAATTCCCATAACCAGTTCTATAACACAGCTCTGGACACGTGTCAGAAATTCCAGAGACTTTATCTGGCTTCTCAAAATGAGCCTGAAGGCATTTTTTGTAAATTGTATGTTGCAAAGAAAGCTTTCTGTGCGGAAGGAAATGTTAACTATGTCCCTGTGCCGCCCATATGGTATCCACTAATGAGCGCTTCAAATATGTCTCGTGTGACTTGGGAACTGAATTTTAAACTATTTCATTTTAATTAAAATTTAACCCCTGTAATCCCAGCTGTCAGGAGGCTGAGGAAGGAGGATCACCATGAGTTTGAAGCAACCTAGTGAGTTCAAGGCTAGCCTGGAATACATAGCAAGACTCTGTCAATAAATAAATAGACAAATTATTTTCTTAAAGAGACTTACCCACCTGGTGGGGTCTGGTGGGTCATCCAAAGTATCTTGTCACAGAATTGATGAAATTGGCTTCTGCTTTGGAAGAAAAAATGACTTTTTCTACTCTTGATTACATGTTTGCTTTGTCTTCTGCAGAACTAGGTCCTTTTTTTTTCTTTTTTTTTTTTGGTACCGGGAATTGAACTCGGGTCCTTGCGCTTGTGGGGCAGGCGGTGAAACCACTGAGCTAAATCCCTGGCCCCTGAACTAGGTCCTTTTGATGTTTAGTAATTTTTTACTGTTTTGAAGGATCTTGATCTTGTGATCTTGGTGTTGCTAGTATTGAGTGATTTCTGTTCTGGATTGATTCTGTGCATTGCTGGCTGGAGTATCTTTCTATCTCGTGGATGTCTTCACCAGAAATTTTCTTCAGTTTCCTCCTCAGCAAAATCATCATCTTTTTCTTCATCATCTTCATCTGTGGCAAAGTTTACTTTTCTATTGAAAATGCTACCATTTCCAAGGACAGATCGATTCCCAAATATGCTCGAGTTTCCCATCCTCCTCTTTATCTTCTGACGCTGTTTCTACCTGAAAAACTGAGTGTAGTGCACTCGCATGCATGGACCCTCAGCGGCCATGCAGAAGGCCAAGCCAGGAATGCTACAGAACATTTCACAGTGCACAAGACAGTCCCTAAATAGATTTATCGAAAGTGGCAGTAGTCCTGAGACCGAGGACTCTGGTACGAGACCCATGAGAGTCTCAGATTCCTGTATTCTTTCTGTGTGATACTGGGCATGGAACCCAGGGGCACTCTATCCCTGAGCTGTATCTCTGTCCCTTTGTTTATATTGAGACAGGGTCTCACCAAATTGCCCAGGTTGGTCTTGAATTTGCAACCCCCCTGCCTCAGCCCTCCGAACAGTTGGAATTACAGACATGCGCCATCATGGCCAGCTAGATTCCCCAGTTTTTTATCACCAAAATAGTATATAATACCCTCAGGTTTTTAATCTGTAAAATTGAGACAATAATATCTTTGTCTATTGTTATGAGAATACAGTAGTTTCCAGGATGGAAAGAATTAAGTTTGTGAACCACGGTACCGCTGTAAAATGGAGTCATGTAAGAGGTGACAGTTGCTTGGCCACTTTGGAATGTCACCAGGCTCGTTCACAAGCTAAGGGACTGACCCCTGTACGCCAGCCTGATAGTGAATTCCTGGCTTGTCACAATCACAACTTTCTATGTATTGTGGCCCATCCTGGAGAAGAATGCAAACAAATGTTTTAATCAGTATATGTAAATTACTTAAAGAAAAATACTTTTTATTAACAAGTACTAACTGTACATACTAATATGGTTCAGTATGTCACACCCTGATTTTAGAGATGAAAAGAAAAAAAAGCACCAAGGCTGAGGGAGTTTGAGTAACTTTCCAAAGGTGAAGCTGTGGTAACCACATAAAGGTGGAAAGAAATCTGGAAATGTGTAAACTAATTTACTTAGGTTAAACTATTCCTATACAATAAAGGGACATTATGATATGAGTTACAAATATTTTGAATTTGAGAATTGAATTTTTTAAGCTGAAACTTTAGGGGAAATGGCCACCTTATAGAATAACAGCTTTTTAGTGTGTGTGTGTGTGTGTGTGTGTGTGTGTGTGTGTCTGAGATAGGGTCACACTATGTGGTCCAGGCTGCCCTGGAACTCTGTGAGTCTCCTACCTCAGGTTCCTGCGTGCTGGGCATGCGCCACCATGCTGAGCTCAGAATGACGGCTTTGTAAAACATGTGTTTCACTTATTCCTGTTACTACAGCCAATATTTATTAATTGTCCAATAATCGGAAAGTACAGACAAACCAAGAGAAAATAAGCTCTGCCCTCATTCCCCACCCAGGCAGAACCCCCTGGGTGTGTCCTCAGGAGCCTCTGTCCTCAAACACCCTGTGCACCTGCGTTGGGCTTGTGCAGTTAGGAGAGGCAGGGTTGCAGCCACCGAACCCCTGTGCTGGGGCCAGAGCCCAGGCCTCTCAGGGCAGCTGGGCCTGAGCTCTGCAACAGCCACACCCTGGCCCCAGGTGAGAACTGGAACCCCGCTGCCTGGCTACAGGTCCACGCGCTTTTCTCTTCCACATGCTCCTTTTACACTCTGGATTCTCCTATCTCTTCCAGCCCGCACAGCACCTTTCTCTTGTGGCTCTTTTCCCTGCCTTACAGAGTACCATGGTTCAGGGCGAGTATTCAGCAGGTAGTAACTGCGTGGATTCCACAACCACGAGAAAGGCTGAGTTTCAGCCGCTTCACAAGAGAGTGGGAGGAGAGGAGGCAGCCGCCCAGCCGTGCCTCTCTCCTGTCCCTTGTATTCTTGGCCCATGAACTGTAGGAATGGTCATCTTTGTTCTTATCTCCACAGAAATGTTGTGAAATCATCTTAGCACCAGCAAATGTTCATAGAAATAGGAAAATGACTTTCTTTAGAAGCAGTTCTGTTACCAGGGTTCTGGGATGCTGTGGGCTCTTCCTAGAGATTCTTTTCAGGCTCCTGTTGTCCTGAAGAAAGAATTGCTCGAGAGAAGCACAAAAAAGTTAGTGAGCTTTTACATTTATTAAAGGTAGGAAAGAAACATGCTCTGCAGAGTGGTGTGAGCCAGTTTAAAGTAGGAAAAGAAGTGCACTCTTCGAGGTGAGAGCGACCACTGTGAAAGAGAGGGCACAGTGCAGAGAGCCCAGTGGGGGGCATCTTTTGGGTCCCCCACCCCTCAGCCTGAGGTCAGATCTAAGCTGACCTATCAGAAACCTGCTTGACCTTGTGCCAGAAGAATTGAACATAGCACTCTGATTAGTCCTGGGGCAGGGCTGGGGAACTCTTTCTGCCTGTGTACTGGATCTCTGTGATTGACAGGCTCTGCCCCTGTGCCCAAAAGCCTAATCACCTGCCTCAGTGCTGCCCTTCTACCTTCATTTCAGGGTTTACATCCTTTAATATTGTTTCCTTATTTGCTCAATCCAGCTTTAAATGACACAGCAGATGGTGAACAATGAGTGTTCTATTCTAAGAAATGGTTGCCTATGGACTACTAGATCTACTCAATTTTCTTCTCACACTAATAGTGTAAAAGTAATAGTACAGGAAGTTAGTATTCAGTAGTTAATCAATTTAGAAAACAATGATGTATTTACTAATTAGAAACAACATTTCTTAGTCCCTACTTGTTGTTTGTTTGTTTCTTGAGACAGGGTCTCACCATGTGTCCCAGGCTGGCCTCAAACTTGCAGGATCCTCCTGCCTCAGCCACCCCAGTGCTGGGATTACAGGTGCGTGCCACCATGCCTGGTGGACACACTGTTTAATTGCTAAGATAATTCACCTCCATCCTCCTCAGGCCCAGCAGGGAAAAGTCACACAACCATATGTGGATATGGTTCTTTGGTAAGAACTATGAAACAGTCCCTGGCAGACCCCAGCCACCCTGTTCCAGAGTCAGAAGGGAAACCGCTGTTCTTTCCTGCGCTGATGCCGCTTGGGGCCTGTCCTGCATGGTCTCAGCACCATTCATTGCCTTCATGACGGTGTGGAGAGGTGGTGGCTGGGTCTCCAGTAGGCCTGGAGACAAACTCCTCAACCGTGTACACTCCTTTGTCCTTCTCACCCACTCAACTCCTAGAGT